CGTGGTCATTATTCATTCATTCATTCATTCATTCATTCATTCATTCATTTAACATATGCCACCCACACTACCCAAAGGTCTCTGGGTGGCTTACAACAATTTGAATTCAATAAAAAGATAAAAACAATTCAAATACAATTAAAAATACAATGCTCTAAAAATTGCCATCAGGACCAACAGTTGATATTATCAATTAAAAACCTTCTGGAACAGGAAGGTTTTGACTTGGCATCGAAATGTCATCAACTTCGGCACCAAACGAATCTCCCTTGGGATGGCATCGCGTTCCATACTCTGGGGGCAGCTGCTGAAAAGGCCCTTAAACCCACTGCGGGTAATTCCATTCAGGCCTTTTTTGTTCTGGCCCAGCTCAGATCCATACTGGTAGCAGTGGAGTGAAAGAAGTATGGTGAGAGAATGCTCAATTCTACTCACCCCCTCATTCCTTTTGTTCATAGACGTGTTTCCATTTTGCACATGAATATGACTGAAAAGTGTCACTTACATCTGCTTGCAGTGTTAAAGCTACCATGTACAGTAACAGAGAGAGAGATCTGCAGTCACGAAAGGAATACAGCTTTAATGACTACATTTCAGTAGTGGGCAGAACCTTGAGTGGCTGTTGTGGCAGTGTGGAACATTTTGTTCTCTGAGCATTGAGCTCCAGTTTGCAATTAAACTTTTATTAGTTGGCAGGCTTTTGTCATTAGAGTTTGGCAGCAGCAGGGTTATAGACATTATTTTTTGTTTTGTGTCTGGACAGAAATTGAGTGAAAGAGGGAATACACACACAGAGGGGTAAGAGATTGGTCTAAACAAGTAATAATGTAAATCAGCTTTTGTTCAACTTTTACAAAACAGGGCAACTGTCAGACACTTTTGTTTTTGTTATTTTAGGCTTTTGAATAGTCATGTTGGCAGACTGGGGACTTAATTGACCAGTTGAGCAACTGCAGGACTTGGCACAAGATGAAACAGACTCCAGACATTTAGATTGAGTTTGTTATTCCTCAAAGAAATGTATTGGGTTGTTGTCCTTAATGACACTTGAGTACTTGCAACTTCTTGCATAAACATGATTTGGAAGGCTGCAGATAGTACGGTATTTTCACCAGTGGTATTATGGATTTATTTTACTCTGGAATGTGTCACTTGAGAGAAAAGGAAGCAAAGCTGTACAAAACAAGGAAACAGCAGGTGCATTTTATCTCCAGGTTCTTCTAAGCATAAGTATTAATTTATGAGGAAGACAAGACAGCTGTTACTACAGCTGAAGCTGGTGGTGAAAAGACCAAGTGGAAAAGCAAATTTGAGCTCCTCGTGTCATTATGTTGAGAACTGTGTGCTTTGGGAGGAGACTCTGTAATATCTGTCACCCCAGTGTTTAGCCCCGTTTGTTTGTTGACAAGGGATGTATCAAACTAGTTCCTCCCCCTGACAAAACAGTGTTTGTTGAATGCCACCAATTGGCCCTTGAGCTGCATCAGGCAGTAATGTTTCAAGCTGGCAAAACAAAAATCATAAGACTCTTAGGGACTGAGGCGGCCAAACATGTTAGTCTTGAGGCTTTAATGATTTCAGAAGCTAAGCAGGATCAGGCCTAGTTAGTGCTTGGATGGGAGACTGCCTAGGAATGCTATGGATCTTCAGGGAAGGCTTCAGGAAAAATCAATCTTGAATCTCTAGGGAGGTACAACTAAATGGAGTTGACAGTGCTGAGTTAGGTAGTCTAATCAACTGAATCAGTAGAAGGTCATATATGTCCCTTGCCTTAATTTAAAAAACCCTCACTAAAGGTGTTTTCTTGGTGGTGGTGGTGATTTCTACAATTTTTGAAATGTAGGAATCGATAAATATGCATGTTTGGAAAGAAAGTCTTAAGGTAAGAAAATAGTTTATAGTAATACGAAATGTGTTACCCTGTTTCCCTGAAAATAAGATCTAACCTGAAAATAAGTCCTAGTTGAGTGAAACCCCGCCCTCCACCATTGTGCTGCAACCAGAAGACAATGACATGACTGTATTTGAATAAATGTAGATTGTTGTACCGGGGGGGGGGCATCCCCTGAGACAGGACTGTATTTGAAAAAACGTAGATTGTTGTCCGCCGGGGAGGACATCCCGTGAAAAGAAGCCCTAATGCATTCTTGGAGGAAAAATTAATATAAGACCCTGTCTTATTTTCTGGGAAACATGGTAGAAGCCAAGTACAGGTAAATAGAACAAACAGTGAACAGAAAAATAACACCCTGGACTCACTTTACAAAGCAGGCAAACTTTCCTGTACAGTTCTTGCTGGATATCCAAGAAAACAACATCCAGCCATAAAGGCTTGTCTCTTATAAAGGCACTACTACAATTGCAAAATTCCCTCCCTGTAGGGCAATGTTTCCCAACCATAGGTCCTTAGATGTTCTTGGACTAAAACTCCCATAAGCCTTCACCACTAGCTGTGCTGGCCAGGATTTCTGGGAATTATAATCCAAGAACATCTGGGAACCCAAGGTTGGGAACCACTGCTGTAGGGTGTGGGTGTGCAACTTAAGAGTTTTCCCCAGGAAAACACTGTCACGATTCCACGTGGCCCCTGATTGTTTCATCAACCAAAGAGCTCACACTACATGCCTCACATTGTTGACTTCATCAACAATACCTATTATTAATGGTAGATGTCCAGGCCATATGTATTTTAAAAGAACCAAATAGAAATTGTTTATTGATACTGGTGTTTACAAAACAAGCAGTGTTGTTAAGTCTTAAACAAGCATTCTTCTTTATCCACCCTCAGCCACCATTCTCGCGCCCAAAATCCAAAACTCTCTCAACTCTCTAACACTCTAATTCTCCATCTCAAAACACTGTCTAAACCTTATCTACATCTATCTGAACTCCTCCTCCTCCTCCTGAGTCTCTTATACCTCGTGACTCCGCCCCCAGCACTCCCATTGGTCTATGCAAATAGCACATGAATATTCATGAACTGGACAAACGCCACAAACACATTATAGTATTATGTGTGTTCCACCGAAGGTCGGTCATTAAAAAAAGAAACATTTTTATGCCATACTTGCCAGTGTGTCTTGTCCAGGTGTGTACAATCGTCTTCTCTAGGTGTGCGTGAGGGCAGTTTATTGTTTCTACTATTTATTTCTTAACAATTTCCAACATGGAATTACTTTTTACACAGCAGCTACACATTGTGTTTATATTTTATTAGGCTGTCCACCACAAGCCCAAGAACACATTCTTGGTCAGTCACTGCTCTCTCAGATGGCATCAATGGGTATTTGGACTTGGGATTTTTTTCTCTAGTGTGAAAAAACACTGCTTACATTGTTTGTTTGTTTACACTTAACTTCAGCTATCAATATGAAAAATTAGAGGGCAAAACATGGCCCATGAGCTGTATACAACTTTCAAACAATTTTTGCTGCCCTTATGGAGCCCTCTCTGTGTCCTTGCCAAAGGTGCCTGCCCCAGTATAAAGTTATGCAATAATCTTATATCTGTTTTCCAAACTTGGATTTTTTTTCTAAGTGTCTCAGATGCTCTGCAACCACTCAGATATTTCTGTTGGAATAAGGTTGCAAGAACTATAGAGGTCTGCAGGATTTGCTTCTCTGGGATTTAACTCCTGACCTAAAATTTCTTTTAAGGACGGAGTTCCTAGAATT